CCTTAGCGGAAAGCTCTATGTTTACTATGCCGAAGATAACAGAAATGTCGGAGTAGTTTTTAACAACATCTATGAGCTAAATGGCTTCATCACGGGGGACCAGTATCAGACTGCTGATTCACTTTCTGACAATCAGAAGGTTTGTGCATTTGTAAATTTAGCATTTGCCGTCGTAATATGCAGTTGTGTACTGTCTGTCTAGACTCTTGTATTCTTAAACCTTTGTATCGGATGGTACAAGCCTGTTGGGCTTTGTATGATCCATACTTTAACTTGGTAGATAGATATGTCTTCTTATGCAACTTTTTCAACTTGAACATATACACCGAATTGGTGAAGAAGCATATTTTGACATATGGTGAACCTGGTACGTGATGTTTACTCCTCACCTGCCACATTGGAGCTTACTCTTCATCAGCTCAGAGGCTTTCACCTTACCATTCTCTTTCGGCCACTTTTTAGTTTAAAAACTGAAATTAGAAAAGCAGGTCTTTCTTCAATCTGGAAGATCATATTTCCTCTTCGGCTTATTTGACCAGACTGTCATTCTAGTTGGGTGTAGAACTGTTATCTTTTCCAATAAGCTGTCTCTTTATTCCTTCTCTTTCCTTTGTCTTATTTCTTTAACACTCCCTTTTGCTAGTATCTTGTTTTCTTTTATACAAATATTCTTATAAAAGAACGGTGTTGGCTCATGGAATTAGTGAAACTGCACCAATCTCTTGCAGGTTTATGTAGATACTTTGGTGAAGAAGGCTTATGATAATTGGAATCAAGTTATAGAGTACGATGGCAAGTCTTTATTAAGTTTCAAGCAAGTAAGGAGGTCTTCTAGAAATGAACCACAGACGGCAGCGCTAGAATACTCTAATCCTTTAGATCATCAGCTGCAGTTACCACGATTGCCTGTTTCCTTTACATCCGAACAGCCTTCAGCAGATTCAGGTTTACCTGTTGGAGGTAATGCTTGCTGTATACTAGTTGGGCCTTTAAATATCTGTCCCATGAGGCCTTTCTGTGCGATGAGTATAATTTTAGCTTGCTTTGCTTCTCATTTTTTCTCAGTAGAAAATGAATCAGTGTGATTCAAAGCACAGACTAATCGTCATCTACAATTTCTCCAGCATACAGAGTTTGATTTGAAATCTTGGGTATTCAAGTGGTCAATGAAATAGTGAAAGCTCCGAGTGTCAAGATACTTTTAAGTGGAATTTTGATAACGCCACCAGTTATTGTTTTGGTTTGTCTTACACCCAACAGGAAAAAGTAGAACTGCGATCTCTGTTTTTTTCTGCTTCCATGTTTTGTTTCCCTTTGTTGGATTGGAAGTTTCCAAGAACAAATGGAGTTATAGACTTTAATGAGGCGGTGTAATATGCAGCATTCAGAAGCTATTTAATGTTAAGGCCTCCCAGAAGTGCAATCAATATCTTATTAAACAATAAGTGAAATATGTCTTAAGTTTGGGTCATTCTCAGTGCATAATTTTATTAAGAGAAAGATGTAAAGTACACAACAAAAGCTATGAGACTGCCATCTACTATTCCTGCTTAATCATTCCTTGAGAAATTCCATGCAAATGCCCTCTACTGATCTGTACAACTTTCACGATTTTGCTATTGAAAAGGTGGTTAGGAGATTTTGAATTTCAGGTGATTAGGACCACATTTTTTTTGGTTCTTTCGTCTTCAGGTGAATCTTTTGTTTTTTCTTTTTGTTTATGTCTTCAAGTGAATATGACATTTCAAGATATGTGAGGGTCCAGTAGTATAACGATAAGAATGTCATTTTCAGATTGGTAGCAGTGATAACTTTCTGATTTGAATGCAAACTTGATGCAATAAGATCTTGGGTGTTGTACCAAAGATGTTTTGTATCCTCTTAAAGCTCCACAAGCGTAGCATGCATGTTTCTGCAATACAGTACTTTCAATCTCATGATGCTAATAATGGATCAAGCATCTATCAGTTATTTGGTGCTTCTGTATCCTATGCCTACTCTTCTTTTACGCATACGATAATCTAGAATACGAGTTTATTTCCCTTCCCTTCCAATTATAATGGTCTCCCCTCTTTGGGAACTTATACTTTGTCTCTTGATAAGGCACTTCTCTCACATTTTCTGTTGAGGTTGGTGGTTGCCTCTTTAATGCCGTCTGACATCCAGCACAAGTTACTGAAATGTCTCTGTGATCTTGTCTTAATTTTTCCATGGACCAAAAAGTAAATTGAGGGAGCTGCTTATTTGTCGTTCTTATGGCATCTTTTGGTTATTGTTTTGATCTCCCTCCTTACCCTCCCAGGCTGACTTGATTCCACCCCATCCAACTCCACTGCAACACATGCTCTCAAAATCACTCACACACGAACACAACTATATGCAATGATCTTGCATGGCATTGGAATTCTACTATGCCAGGCAGCTTGGAACTATAAATCAAGTATTTACCTTGTGGGTTGTTGTGTTCTGTCCCTTTCAGGATATAATGGTGACGTGGCAGTGAGATACTCAACCCAGTCCCAGCTTGCAAATGCTAATACTCGGTCTCAGTTTCCTAGTACTTCATACGTACCACAAGACCAGTTGGCCAGCAACCAAGCACAAAGTTCAAGAAATGACAGCAGCAGTGTTGGCTTGGCCCTTGGTCCACCTCTATCAGCTGGTTTTCAGGCAACTGGTTCATCGATTCAGACGCCTGGCTTGAATCCATTTGACGATTGGTCGAGCAACCGGGACAAGGGAGACGTTGAGTTTTTGACGGAAGAAGAGATTCGCATGCGAAGTCATGAGATGCTGGAGAATGAGGACATGCAGCATTTACTCCGACTCTTTAGCATGGGAGGTCATGCCTCCATTAGTGTTCCTGAAGATGGTTATGGGTTCCCTACCTACATGCCGTCACCACAGCCATTTGATGAGGACCGGTCCCGTTCAGGCAAAGCGGTTGTTGGTTGGCTGAAAATTAAGGCAGCAATGAGATGGGGCTTTTTCATAAGGAAGAAGGCTGCTGAGAGACGGGCACAACTTGTTGAGCTGGATGAATAAAAACAGAAAAAGGGTCCCTGAGATGGTTTATGCTCTAAGTATTGGGCGTTGAATTGTGTTGCTTTTGGCTCTTCGATTCATGGCAGCTCTTTGCTGACGTCAACATAATTGTGGTTTTGGGGCCTCGCTTGGCCGGGTTTGTCAGGGATCTCTGCTGATTCTGCTTCTGTAATGTGGAAGTCTCTTGTACAGTTGTCTGTACAGTAAGTTTCTTCTATTAATAGTCCTCGAAGTCTTATTTATTTATGAAGTATGTGTTTTGTTAAGGGATTGCTTAATATGTACTTCTAATTGTTGGGCCAGATTGACAATGTTTTCGATTTTAGGCATTTTACCATCCCATGTTTAAGTGTTAGGTATGTAATCGTGTGAAGATGACCAATGAATAGTTCTGTTTTTTACTTCGTATATTCACTATGTTCTGTCTGTCTCATTTTTGCTGCTGCTTCCCCCCCTCCCCTTTTCAATTGTGTCTGGATTGGAGGGTCAGGTTCGTGAATTTTCGGGCTACTAAAATGAGTCCTAGAAAAGTTCATTTTCATTCTTGTGCTGATGAACCTTAAAAAGGAGAAGGTAAGAAATCGACGATGCACCATGCTTTACCCTTTCTGGCCTAGAGTGCAAGCAAACTGATACCATCACATGTTACTACTCTCTGCACGTTATAACTCTCGAATCTGACTGGAGTGCTCTTCTCATTTTCTTTGCCATGGTCATACATCTAAATCAAGGTGTATGACGCTCGTCACATTCGTAGTGCTTGAAGGTTGTGTGGCTGCTGGAACGTTTATGCGTGGGTTGGTACATGTGACTTCATGGCAGACACAAACCTAACGATGAAACAGTGTAAAATCTTCCCATTTGTTTGTCTTCGTTGCCCCGAAAAGGTGCAAGAACACTGTCGCTGGCGACCCGAAAATTAAGGCATGGAGAAAGGGAAGAGGGTGAATGAATAAACTCGTGAATTCAGAGTGGTCACCGCCGAATTTTCTTATGAATTTGTTTCTTTTCGATAGAGGCCGAGCTCGGAGTCACAGCCCAACAACAAAAGCAATTGCTAAAAACCACACAAAGTAGAGGGAGGCATGCCGATTTCCGTTCCAAACATGCGCGCCGGTAATAGCCTATCTCCCTCGTGCGATGTTAAATCTTTCCCCTCGTCTCTTGTTGTTTAGGTCCGGTGTTCGTTCTGACTCCGACTTGAATGGTTCGTACTTTCGGGCGTAGGCAAGTCTGAATGGCCAGAGCTGGTGGGGGTGTCACAGCAGAGGAGGCTGCAAGAACTGTGAAGATGGAGAATCCATGGCTGACCATCGCCCCTACCGTCGACAACGTACAAGGCCATTGCCTCACGGATGTCAGCTGCCGTGGGTCGAATCCTTTGTGAAATAAATTCTTAAGGTGAATGCCCATGGAGAGAGAGGGAAATGTGCTTTCCTATTTATGCATCAACGATGAATGAAATATATGTACTTACATGGATACATGATTTTCTTGCCCTGAGCATGGCGAGAGTGGTCGAGCCCTCCCTTGAATCCTACAAGGGCCGTCGATTCTTTGTCGAATCTCGGCGATTTGTCGCCCAACCCCCACTCTCTCTCTCCCTTGTCACTTTATCTAGAATAAAAATTTCCTATTATAGTGATGTAGTGCCAAATAGGCTCGGTACTTCATTAGCGTCGCTTATCAAATTTCACGACATTATCGATTTCACATCACCAATTTAAGTTGTTAGGATACGGTTAATGATTGAAATAATATGATTGCACAGATCAAGAGATTAAGAGCCTGGTTGTATAAAAATAGTTTCGCAGCCCAATTGTACAAGCAAACACCAATTAGGTGCCAAGAAATGTGCTTATTAGCTCAAAGCCAAAAAAAAAAGAATAATTAGAAATGGTACTTTCTTATACGATAAGCCAATACACTCTTTACAATGGCCAAATTTCACTCTTCAAATATCACATATAGAATAAGGTATCGTCAACCATACTAAAGAATATGAAAGTTCAATGAAAGAATTTGTCCTATGTTCAAAGCCTAGCATTCTCTCTCTCTCTCTCTCTCTCTCTCTCTCCTCCGCCCTCCTCTATTCTAAGAGAGGTTGCACTCCGGAGGGAGGCCTTGAGGGAACCTCTTGGAGTCGGAGCAGTAGTTGTAGATCGTGTAATTCTGCTGCACCCACTTCAGCCTCCCATGGCTGGTCGTGTCCAGCTCCTGCGTGAGCCAAGAATTGCCATCGCTCGAGGCGGCGCCGGGCCCGCAGGACGACGACCCGGAGGACCAGATGCAGGCATTGGCGTTGAAGTTCCTGTACGACGCTGTGAACGGGGCTCGCGACCAGTCCGTCTTCACCAGCCCGCCTCTCGTCGGCCAATCGTCCGCGTTCCACAGGCTCGAGTAGATCCTCATCGGCTGGCTCCTGGGGAACGGGACGCCGCTCGACTCCGCGTTCTTGAATTCTCTGATCGGAGTGCCGTCCACTGAGAATCTGTAAAGCACGCACGCAAAAAGAGTGTGAATAGATGCCGCAGAGAAATGTGTACATGTCAGTGAGATTGCGTTTTGGGATCGTCCCGATTCTTACATGATGCGTTGCGGGTTCCAGAGGTTGGAGTAGGTGTGGAAATCAGCGGTCGGGTCGAACCAGAGATAGAATTGCTGCTCCCTGTTTCCCTTGCCTTGGCTGAACACGTTGGTGTGAAGAATGTATGGATCGCCACTCAGGTTTCCCAAGAACTCAAAGTCTATCTCGTCCCACGTTGACCCTTTTGAGGATAGCTGCAATGCATGTACACATATATCAGCAAAAGATTACAAACGGCTACGAACATATAGAGGCGGCAAAGCTTGAGCTTTTTTTTTTTTTTTTTGTGGGGGTGGCAGTGGATGCTAACATAGTATGCAGTGACAGTGCCAGGGAGTTTCCAGCGACTAGCTTGAGTTGCATGTCGATCTTGCCGAAAAGATATTCGTTCTTGGATTGGAAGCCGGAGCCCGAAGCCTTGTCGAGAGAGAGAGAGAGAGTGAGGAGATCACCATTGTTGAGTATCTGAGCTCTGCCATTCCCTCAGGTAATGTCAAACTCTTGGTTGAAGTCGCCAGCAAATGCAACCATCAAACTTCTGAGCAGAACGGAAGCGAAGAGAATTGCAAAGGCAGAAGAAGCCATGACGACAAAGCTAACGCTCAAAGAACCACTGAACTGAGACCGAAGGAGATGAGTGGCAAAAAGAGAGGATGCAGATGAATCCAGTTGAATGAGATGATGGGTGTTTGCGACTGTTGACACCTAAAATTTTTCCTAGCCATTTAGGGTTTAAATGTATAGAAAATGAGAGAGAGAGAGAAAGACGTGGGAGGAAGGGAAAAAGGCAGAGTTTCCCAGCAGCCGGCCACGTCCGAACTCCATTCGACGACCTCCAGGCAACGCCCTCGAGCCCGCGATTTCTTCGTCCACGGCGCCAATCTTCCGGTGAGTTTTTGGGTTCGATCCATTTCCCCGAGGATCCCGGCTCGGAAATGTTCCGAGGCGACCGGACTAAGTCCGATATATCTCAAGTTCGCCCTCTATTTGCCGTTTCCGAGCCGGGTAGGGCCACTTCCGACGACTGAGCTCGCGCTCTTCTTTGCCCCGATCGTTGCTCAGCCTTGCCCTGTCTCGGTTCAACCGAGACCGGGATGTGTCGTTCTTTGTTTATGCTCGTGGTGGATGCGACAGAACCGTTTTCTGAGTTGATGTCGAGCATGGCTTGTTCACTGTATTTTGAGTTTGGGGTGATTTCGTGTGCCGTTTGAGTGGAAGGTTTTCTTTCCAGCACTGCACACCATGTGCTTGCTGAAATGCATCAACTAGATCCGTAAACATTTTTTCTTGAGTCCGGTTTGCTGGGCTGTCGGGATGCATGTTGGTTTGTCATGCTTGAAGATGGTGTTGGGTTATATGATTTCCTGAACCGTACCCTTTACGGCAGATACTTTCATTGTTCCATATTTGTCCTTCTTTGTTCTTCCGTCTTTTGCGTGTTCTCTGATGATATAGCTGCGTATGTTGCCGTGTTTGGCTGGTCATTGCGACGGACGATGGTAAGATTCGCTAACTCTGATGGTTGGTTCGGTAGCGAGAAATGGTGTCATTCTTGTCGAGCATGGGATGTTGTTATTGTTCTTGAAGTTATGGCGATTCAGAACCAGTGTGTAGCGTTAAAAATTTTCTGGGTAGCGAGAACGCGAAGAAAGTGTCGGAGGAGTTCTGGGATTGGAAAATCGGCGGAGGAGGGGTAAAAGTAATTAACTTAATGGGCTTAGTTAATTATGGTGGACTTTAGGGCTCATTTGAGTTTGGTGAACTTTGGTCTTAAATGAAGTTTTGTAGATATGGGTTGGATTTAACTTTTTTAAGTGATCTTGGGCTTAAGTTTTAGTAATTTTGGGCTTGGTTTAGCTGGTTGACCTTGATCTCGGTTAAGTGGGCTAAAATCTGGTTTTGTAGTGGCCGAAATGGACTCGTTTTTCCAGTAAGCCCTTTCCTTTCTTCAAGCTTTTGGCGTCCGAGGACTCGGCTCAGAAAGACCCGGGTTCGGTCCCGGTCTGGACAGGATCCGCATACCCGACCCGGGTCCTTAGTATTACAATATTACAATATTATTTTAATATTAAAAAAATATTTTTAATTAAAAATTTAAAAAATTTAAAAAACTTCGAAAACCGAGAAAATAGTAATTGGGCTTTGGAATTGCCTTTCTTGCCCTTTTTGTGTGATTAGTGTCATGTTTGATTACATGTTGTTAGACTCACATTTTGAATTGCGGGTTTAATTTAATCTTGCATGTGGTTGATTAGGCATGTTAGGTTCATATATTGGTTGTTATTTTTCATTTTTAGCGTGGCTAGGTGAAATCTTAAGCTTTTTCGATAGGCTGCTCGGTGCGTTAGTTTGAGAATTTTCAAGTTTAGGTATCGAAAAAGCACTAGTTAGATTGCTAATGTAATTAAGTCTCCGATCTTTAGAATCTCTGGTTTTCGCGTATATCGAAATGACACTCCCGCGTCTCGATTGGGATTTCTAGCCAACCCTTGATTATAGCTAGTGGCGACTCCAATGGGATGCTTCGTTTAGACAAATTTTCGTCGCACGAGGTATAAGGCTAGGGAGTGTCTCGGTCTTTGGATTGATGAACTATTTGGTTTGTTTATCAAACGAATCAATTAATGTTCACATCCCTCGACAAATACCTCTTGGCCTAACCGATCAGAATTTGGACGGGTAGGTCGCGACAGCTTGGCGACTCCACTGGGGAAGTTTGTTATATAAAAATAGTTTCGGCTTGCTAAAACTCACCGTACCAAACAATATTGATATCATTCAAATGTCATGAAAGACAACGTCAGAAGATTGTCATCAAGAAGAACGGTGGAGTGCATCTCTAGAATGGTGGATATGGGTGTAATTCGGGGTGCTAAAGAGGAAGAGTCGGACAATATGACGATGCCGACAACCATATTGGATCTGTCCTCCGAGAACTTTGTTTGTGAAATTGAGGAGGAGGAATTGAGGAGATGGCCGCCGAGTTTTTAAAAGTTATAGAAGCAGCCAATGAAAGCGAAGCAGTGTTTTAGACCATAAATGACGATGAAGGAAAACGTCTAAGCATTGATGCCGAGCCTTCAAACCTCCCCTTCAAGTCGCCATGGAGTGCATCTCTAGAATGGTGGATATGGATGTAATCCGGGGTGTTAAAGAGGAAGAGTCAGACGACATGACGATGCCGACAGCCGTATTTGATCTATCCTCCGAGAACTTTGTTTGCGAAATTGAGGAGGAGGAAGTTGAGAAGATGGCCGCCGGATTTTTAGAAGTTATAGAAGCAGCCAATGAAAGTGAAGTAGTGTTTCAGACCATAAATGACGATGAAGGAAAACGTCTTACCATTGATGCCGAGCCTCGAACCATGAAAGTCAACTGGGATAGCGAACTCGTGAGGTCAGCTCATAAAGACAGGGAAGTGATAAGTACGCTAGGTCAGCCTAGTGGGAAGTTTGACTATATGGTGAAGTACTCGCCTCCCCTGAACTTTTTTATTGACCCGAAAGATGTTATTCCGGACGGATGGGGGATATGGATGACTTACCTAGGTCGGAGGAAGAGATGGTTGGCATGATTACCCTCGTAGTGATCGATTTATTCATTGAGGATGATCTATGGACACACGAGGAGGCAGGTGTCGAACATGTAGTCATTGACCTTATGTCTGAAGAATTCAATTCCCTAGAGATCGATGATCGTGCTGTGAAGCCGGTAGTGATTGAACTTCCACCTGAGGATGTAGAGGATTTAATAGAAGTAAAAGCCCCGAGCTACAACCCCAAGGCAGTCCCTTGGAATTATAAGACGAACGAAATTGATGCCGTCACGCGTTTAGGCCGCTGTTATGCGCCTCCCGAAGCAGTTGAGAAGAAAGCCATCTCGGATGAAGAAGCGGAGCAATTCTTGGCAATTGTTAAAACGAGCGAGTTTAATGTAGTGAATCAGTTGAAGAAGATGCCTGCCCAAATCTCATTCTTGGATCTCTTCAAATCTTCTGAAAAACATAAAAACACACTGCTCAAAGTCCTTAATGAAGTGCATGTGCCAGAGAACATCGATGAGGGTCAATTAGAATAATTTGTTGGGTTCGTTTTACTAAAGGATAAGATCTTGTTTGCTGATGAGGATTTCCCTGTCGAGGACCGCAACCATACTAAGGCTCTGCTCATTTCCGTAAAATGCCGCGATAAGATGGTATCGAGGGTATTAATTGATAATGGGTTGGCACTAAATATTTGCCCTCTAGCCATACTCCGTCGCCTGTGGATTAATGAAGAGAAGATCCAGACCGCAAAGTCCACTGTTCGCGCTTTTGACGGCATGAAGAAAGAAGTTATCAGTAAGATTGAGCTCGAACTCCTGATCGCCCTGTCCTCTTTCTAGTCAACTTCTAGATTTTGGATATCCCTAGTGCCTTTAATTTTCTGATGGGACGACTCTGGATACACACTGCAGGAGTTGTGCCCTCGAGCTTGCATTAGAAGATCAAATTTATTGTAGATGGAAAGCTGGTTACTGTACATGGAGAGATAGATTTTAAGGTCTTTCATGACACTGTAATCCCGTCTATAGAGCCTGAGAGCAAGGCAGAATTGAGCTATTAGACTTTTGAGTTAGTCTCAATGATCCATGTGTCCGTTGGAACTATTATGCGAAGTCTAAAATTAGCCCAGCCGTTGGTAATGTTGAGCAGGGTGCTGCTTGAAAACGGTCATATCCCTGGGATCGGCCTGGGACTGTATGGCTAAGGCATTAGAGAACCCATTCAAGTTTCCAAAAGACACAGAAGGGCCGGCCTGGGTTATCATGGAGGCCATGGAGGCAATGGCTGTGGTGACTATGGAGGTCGAGCCAGTCTTGGGGGCCGTGGAGATTGTGGAAATCCGTTCGGATTAAAGGGAGGTCGTCAAGGTTTACTGCTACCCGAATTGAAGGAAATTTTTCCGAGGCCACCGAAGTTGCTTTAAGAAGAAGAGGGATCTGTTGTGGGCATAGCCAAGCTGTTCGAGGGAGAGTTCGCATGCGCCATCATAGACAGCGAGGAGGCCGAGTCTTCTGCCAGTGCCGCCAACTCTCCTAAGTAAGGATGCTGCTTTTCCTAATTTCATTTTATTTAGTCTATGTGTCTCCCTTGCATGGGAAGTTTTCGTTAGGTTTAAGCCACTACTTTCGTTTATAATCAAAGTCTCGGACTGCGAGCTGTCAGTCCGAGATTTTGAGTCGTGTAAACGGTCTTATCCTGTTAATAGAAGCATGAGCATGTTTCATTAAGGACGTGTGGAAGTACCCAAAACAGTCCTATGATGACGCTTGGAGGCCTGGACTTTCATACGTTTCCTAGTTTTCAAAGATCTTTAGGGACAAGGATGTCCGAGGATACGAGGATGAGTCCCTTGTTGTCTTGTTTTGAAAACTCTTTCAAAATGATTTTAAAATTAA